TTCATGACCTCATGTCGGGTTTTCTTGGCAAAGATATGGGGTGGTTTGCCATTTCCTTCTCCAGCTCATTTTCCAGATGAGGAAACTGAGGTAAACAGGGCTAAATGACTTGCCCAGGGTCACACAGCTAGGAAGCGAGTACAGATTTGAACTCAGGTCTTCCTGACTCCAGGCCTAGCATTCTGCACCAATAAGTGGTTTTGTGACCTCTTAAAAGATGCTCTTAGAAGTCACCCTCACCGAACAAACAAAAAGACAGCAATCTTAGCATTACTAGTTGTTCCTTGAGATCAGAAAAAACCTGAAGACAGTGTAGACTTGCAGACCACTAAGAACGTACTTTTATTAGGTTAGAAGCCTCACAGTAGACTTAGGAAGGTATGAGATGTAATGGAGAGTCAATAGTGATAATAGCATGACAGCTACCTCCTGTGTTTCTCATAGCTGAGAGATTGAATCAGGAAGTTAATTATATGCACAACTAAATTGACTGTAGCCCTTCTACAGTTATCAAGGATTACCCAGTTTATTAAAGCAGCTTAGTAGCCTAATTACCTGACACCACTGAAATCAAAGTAGCCATTTTTTCCACCTTTACCGAGAGGTTCACACTTTCCCAAAATGCTAGCTCTGAACATCTTGTGGATCTTTGTATTTGACTTCTGATGTGAGACAGGGAGAGAGAAAAGGTTTTCTGAAGAGTAAATTGGCTTTGGGAAGATGTGGCCTACCTATGGTAACATTTACAGGAGAAAAACATTCCCTTTACTGAGAAAGAAGTATCTTGGCCTCATGACTGATCACTTCTCCTGCACAAAGTATCCAGCGTTCCTAATGAGCAGTGACCAGAATGGCGTCGGTGATACTTGCTCCTCCTCTGTCATATCCGTGGGATAGACAGGAAGCCACATCAGCAGTGGGAAACTAGGAGCTGTCATCGGTGTCTTACCTTTCAGTGTTTCATCAACAGAGATTTCCTCAAATAACCATTTGGAGGGGAGTTCTTAAATGTCCCTGTGATGAGAGGTCTGGAGGCAGATGACTTACCTACATTTTAAATCTCTCAAACTTACCAGGTAGGACCTTGGACAAGTTCCTTGGGCCTCAGTTTTCTCATCTGTGAACTGAGAGCTGGACCTGCCAGTTTGATCCAAAGCCTCTACATTACGATACAGTAGGGGAGTTACCGTTACCTCAGCCACTAATAAGGAAGCCTGTAACTCCACAGAGGGATTTCTTTATGGTCAAAATGAAAAATGTTCATTTCCACCTTAAATGTGATCTGCTTTTATCCATTGAGACATAACCATCCCCTTCCTCTCTACAACCTTGCCCTCTAAGAGTGCAGTTACCTACACACAGATGCTTCCTGGTTCTACCGCTAGCACCTCTTTCCATAGTCCTAAGGTCTATCCTCCAGTTACTTCCATTTTTGATGGCCTTACCATCCCATAGTACCACTGACTCAAACAATGGAAGAGTACAATATGTTGTGTGAGTTAAGGTCCAGACATTTAAATTTAAATGGAATTTCTCCCAGTTTAAACTCAAGGCTCAATTACTGTCTTCTGTTGGCTCAAGGTTTTAGTGGTAGGGGTAATAAAGAACGGAAACTGTCTTTGTCTCCCCCCCCCCCCCCGCAAAAAAAGGATCAGAATCTTGAGACATCAAGAAACTGCCCTTGGTTATTCAAAGTCTTCTAATGAATAAAAATAAGAGTAATATCATAATATTGAAGACTAGGGTTTGAGAATTTGATGCAAGGTATCTTATTTTGCAAGTAATTTAAATAACCATCATTTGAGCTGCTGCAGGTATTGGGGAGGAGGGGGATTGTCTAGAAGGTAGAAAGCACTGTAAAAACCAGACAAGAGCTCAGCATCTTTTCATGTCACTTTAATACTGTACAATCTTCTTTATACAATTGTAACATGACTCCAAGAGCAGAAGTCAGAAATACAGTAGGAGCTGATAGATCTCAGGGAAGAAAAACGCCAGTAAGAGGAAAAAAATTCCTAGGATGGCTACTTGAAGTGATAATTTCCTTTGAGAATAAACAGTAAACATGGTTTTCCAATTCATGGTATCACTGGTTCTGTTTTGATGTGACACTGAAGCCATAGATGATTGCATTTTATTCCCAGGAAATGGATATCCCTGAACACAATCACCTTTTGTTTGTTCCACAGGAACCGGTCAATAGCTAAGGTAACCTGTCAAGATGCTCCAGTCTAGGGGAAACAGACTGCTAAGGGTTATCAGCTTCTTGGACCTGCTGGCCCTGGTTCTGTGATTATTAACATCCATGAGTGATGCAAACTATAGAATGTCCTCAATGGCTAGGGTAGAGCTCTACATAATACATGTGCAGACTTCCTAAAAACTTTGATTCCACTTTTCTTCACAGCTTGCCCCTAGTTAAATAGTTTTAAGGACATTTTTCTCTTCTCTCCCCACAAAGAATGGACAGTTTCTGCTTAGCTTTGCCATCTTCTATGTTATAATTGTAAATACAATACATAATAGTTCATGAAAAAAACAATGCTTGGCAACAGTTTTCATTTATTCAAACTTTATAGTTAACCTTCACTTTTTCCATTCCCCTGCTTTCATAAATATTTAAAGTTTACAGTTCCAACTTCCTTCCCTTGGATGGCTTATAGGCAACTCCTTTTATGTGTCTGGGTTTGGGATCTTTATCACCAAAACCCAGTGCTGATGATAGGAAATAATCACTTCAACCTCAAAAAAAAGCTCTTCCAAAAGTCATTAGTAGGCAGCTTGGCTGTCTTTTACTTGTCTTTATGGGGCTAATAAAAAAAGGTACATTTTAGTCTCATGCAGACTAGATAATTCCTATTTCACTGTGATAACATTATACTAGTACAGTGCTTCTCACTTTCCACTCTGGTTTTTGATAATGGGTATGCCAGCATCCCAGGTTAACATCTATGTTTTGCAGATGAGAAGGAAAGCACTGTTAATGCACACCAGGGCTGCAGTGTAACATAAGGGAGGTTAGGGTAAAGAAACTGAGATTTGTTCCATTATCAATGAAATTTAATGCTCTAGTAATAATGCTTGAATAACTCAAAAGTGGCTTTCAGATTTCAGTAATTCAGAAACCATGGAAAAAATAAAAATCAAATCACGTATATTCCATTCATTCTTACACAAGACTGGCTATGGCTAGTAGAACTGATCATTATGACCCAAAGGCAGAAGTGTACCCAATGGACAAGCTGTTGCTGTGGAGAAAGTGATTAGAGAGATACATGTCCTTAAGTGGTATTATACTGATAACGACTGTAGCCAGAAGGGAAGAACATTTCTTGAAAAAAAAAAAAAGTGAAAAACTGCTCATCAACTGATTGCACCAGGTTTTTAAGTGACAGAAGGTACTAACTTTTCTCTAACTATATTGGGAAGAAATTATGGCAATCAAATAGTCCCACAACAGTGGGATCACATTAATAGGTCACATTAGTTGGACATGAATGATGAATCTCCTTCTGAGTTTTCAATGAATATAAAATATCAATGTTTATCTATAAAGACAGGAATATTTTCAAGACCTATAGTCTACTGTGGGTCACTGTGTGTGAAAGTTAAAATGTACTTAACTTAATGTTAACATGGTCATCATTATTATTAACAGTAACATGTTAATAAGGTCAGTTTCAAATGACTAGCTACACACGTATTTTTTTTCTCTGCACAACTTTTGCACTGTTGGATGAAATCTCTGCAGGCAAATGACAGGAAGTGCCGGTTTTAAATGAGCCACAGGAAATGCATCTCATTACTTAATCACAGTTAGCGTCTCCCTAGTCTTTGGGGCCAGGCTCAGTTTCCTCATCTGTAAAAATGAGAGCTGAACCACATGATCTTTAAGATCCTTTCCACCTCTGGGGTTTAGAATGGTTTTCTACAGCACTTTTCTGTTTCATCAACATAATGCTAAAACTTAAGGCCAATCACTACGAGGTTCTCAGTGGTAAAATTAAAGGGACTAATGGCAGCTGAGACCCCAGCTGTTAACAACTCTCCAAGCCTAAGAGCCTGGAAGTTAGCCAATTGGGGATTGAACACTTCGAATGGTGCAGACCGACGTTGATAGTATTGAGGTAATATTCAGTAAAGCCACGAGAGATATTGTTCCTATTTAGCAATAACCCAGGTTTAAAACTGCTTCAGAGTTTACCATGTATCTCATGTATTTCAAAAAACCACGCTAGAGATGGGATGGTAATACAAGGCCTTATTTTAAAATGGGTAACATTTTCCAAGGCTGGGCTGAAAAAAGGCCCCATCCATTAAATCACAAAATTATACAAGTTGGAAGGACAGTCCAAGGACATCGATTCAAAAGCACAAAGGCAGCATTCGTGCCCTGCCCCCACCTCCTCGACTAGCCAGATTGTTGATGTTTCTCGTAAACCTGAATATCAGCAAAGGTGTGCAGAGTGATCTCTTCCAATGGGCACTGTCATCACTCATCAAGTGTTTATAGTCAGTGTTGGCAGAGAGTGCACTGTGGTCCATGAACTCTTTGGTTCTATCTCCTCAATACTGATGATATGGGCTAAAAAGTGGTTTCTGATTTAAAACAACAAAAACAATTTAAAAAGTGGAATTTTGAGAAAGTCGCTTGGGGGCGCTAGGTGGCGCAGTGGACAGAGCACTGGCCCTGAAGTCAGGAGGACCTGAGTTCAAATCCGGCCCTCAGACCAAACACTTGACACTTACTGTGTGACCCTGGACAAGTCACTTAACCCCAATTGCCTAAAAAAACAAAACAAAACAAAACAAAAAAACAATAAAGTCACTAAAAAGAGATTAGAGGTAGTACCTTCCCAGCTGCCAAAATCCACAACGTATGCTTTGCTTCCCATTCCTGCTGCTACACATGACTTGAAGTTAAGGTACTATGTATACATATTTATAAACACACTTAAAGTACACGCTTGCATTTAACATACAAGTCACAGAACTCCAAATGAAATGGATTTTTTTAAGAGGGGATAAGTAACACAGACGCTTACAGATGTTTCTTATTAATGGAAAGGGTCACTTTCTAGCCAGAAAGCTCACCCGAGGAAAAAAAAAATTTGGCAATCACTCCTTTACTTGCAGAAGGTAAAATACTTAACTACTGAGACAGATTTCAGTTACAGTTGTCAACTAGATTTCTTTTCACAGCCCTTAAAACCTCCTGAGGTAAAATGGAGTAAAAGTTGCCAAGTTGTTGGCTACCAGACTCATCAGTCTGTTCAATTCTGGATAAAAGCAGAGCTCTCGAAGGCTGCCAAGTTTCCTCTCCTCTCCTGCTCTGGCAGGAATTCTAAGATTGTAGAAGACCCATAAAAACACACAGAACACACCCAAAGCAACATCTCGTTGTATTACAGCACAGAACACACAGTGTAACGACATCTCACAGTCCACACGAGGATACGACCAAAACATCGGGGCTAGGAGTGTCCCATGGTTTTAGTTCTGAGCTTGGATTCACACTGTGGCAAACAATCTGGGTAGTTTTGTGCTCCCCCTGCCACGAATCTAGCAAATGTCACCTGCAACACCTTTCTAAGAAATATTTCTTCTTATTAACCTTTTGATTCATGGACACTATTTAATTCTCTAAGTTCTTAAAAAATGGCTGTGGGCCTGGGTGTAGTGGGAGACAATAAAAGGAAACCTTCAGTTGCTACACACAGCTCACAGGCAGGCCAGGGCACTGGTACCTCTGTGTTCTTACTATTCCACAGGCATCGAGGTGAAAGAGAACTCTGAGGGAACCAACGAAGTTTCCATTCAGACCTCATTAACTCCAGTGAACTAATGAAAAAATCTCTGCCACTCCAAACCCCCAGGGGCCTCCAGGCATGTAGTTTTCTTTTTCCTGCCCCAGCTGAAGGTTTTCTGAGGCCCTGCAAGTTCATACCAGTCTCACAGGGACTGACTGTGCAAACAGCAGACAACATGCTCAGACTCTGGCTCTATTTAGCTTGGCTAGAATTTGGGTTTGGGGGAAGGCCTGGCTCTTTCATTAATTTATTTATTTACTTTAAAGATGCTGATTAATAAAGCACAGCTCCTTAAGAAGCAGGAGGAGGCCCGGCCCCTGAATTAACAGTATATTTTAAACTGAGGGACTCCAGACTATCGAATTCTCTTAGTTCCCCTCAAAACTTAGCAGGCATCAAGCTGGTTCTGCCCAATCGTGTGGCAGGGCTGCTGCCAGTCACTGTTTGCAGTCATGCCTGGATCCAACCAGGGCAGTGAGCTGGCTCTGCAGCATGGGCTTTAAGAGAGACTCTGGTAATTAAGAAAAGTTTATTCAATGAGTTTGGTTCTCTTAATTTTTAGATTTCATTTTTCATTCATTTTCAAATTCATTACATTCCCTCTGGAGCTTTTGTCCTAAATTTCATTTGGAACTCAAGGTATGCCATTTCTACTAAAAACAGACAGGCACACAAGCCTGTCTTTCCATGCAGCACCAGGCTCTGAGCGTGCCAAGAGTACCTGGAGCTGGTTCATTTCAGAAAAGCCCTCAGAGGAACACATACGGCTTTTGCCCAACTTCAAAACTTTTAAAACTACTTCTTGCTGCCTTATGATAGGAAATTGCTCTTAACTCTCTGTGACTGGGGACGTTTGCAGGGGATGAGAACATCATATGTAAACTCTCGGAGAGTCTTCAGAAGAGGACAGAGAATCCTATTGTTTTTCATTTTCTTGAATTACTCAGCACTGAGTAGAATAGAGGCACCACTGATGCGGGATTCCAGTGATTCTGTGTATACCTAACCACCCCGACCTAGCAAGATAGCCAGCAGGTGCCAGACAAAAGGAAGGCTTCTGAAATGACCACACGCTAACTTTAAGACACCAGTCACCACTTACAAGGTGGACCTAGTGGCTTTTCTAATGTTGGCTACTTGTTTTGGAGACATTTTAGCCACATGTACCTAATGAGGATATATTTCATTGCTCTGAAGACTTTCTTTGTCTCAAAGACAACCACAGAACTGATTTTCTTAAGACCTTATAAAATACAAGTAATTGAGTGGATTATGAGTGAAGCCATTCATGATGACCAAAATTATTTTTTGCTAATTTAAAAAACAATAAAGAGTGGTCATTTATAATATATCAGAGTCAGCTGAGTAAGGAGTGTAAACGCAGATATCAACCAACCCTTTTATTTTATAAATCCATATTTTAGCATCCACAGAGTCAAATTTCCTCACCTACCATGATCCTGGGGAAAAAAAAAGGATGGTATCCTTTTTTGAAAAGCATTACAAATATCCAGTATTAAAAATTGCAATTCAAAATTAGCCTAGGCCAATACATAATTACAACTGAGGAAACTGGTGAATACTGAGGAGTGACTCAAAAGGACAAGGACACTCAAGATAAGGTTGAATTTCCATCTCAATGCTCAGACCTCTCCCAGCCTTTTCAGTCCATCCTCTGTCTTTTGGTTGAGCCCAGAATTCCATCAATGTGAATCCTCTTCCCCCCATGCAGAGCACAAGTCCTCATGAGTTGCTGGGGCCAAAGCAATTCATCACATGGGAGCCAACCTCCGATGAGGAACCTATCCTAACTTAACTAGGCCTATGTTTTCCAGGCATGGCCTTTGAGAACCTAGGCTTACAAACTGCTACTTTAATATAGTTAATTTATTAGGGAAGGTTATAAAAATATCCTATTTACATGTGCATGTGTTTGAGGCATTTGAAGAATAATCAAAAAGCCTGACGTTTAGTCGGTCGGCAGTCTGGGTTTCCATGAAAATTACCTTAAACTAAGTATGACAAAGCATTTGTCAGTTTCATTTGGAATTGGCTCAGTTATTCAAATGGAAGAGAGTAAAAAAATCAATTGCTTCCTTAAGCAAACAAATAACCAAAATCACCCAGCCACCCTAGTTATTATAAACAGGTAAGAAAAGTCTGGTCCAGGGCAGAGGTTTAGCTTGCTGATTTTCAGCCTTGGAATGAATAAAACATCGGCAAGCCTCCTCTTCCCCATAACAAAACAAAAAACAACAGTATAGAGTGGAAATGAGACAGCTCCTAACCAGGAAGTTTACACAACTCTTTCAAGTAGTCCATGAAGCGCTCTGCAGTGACAGCATGGAATGTGCACCAAGTGAAGGCTAAGGTTAGTACAGGGAGCAGGAAGCCACAGAGGGGCACATTTGGGTCTCTGACTAAGTATGCAAACTCTCCTTGAAGCACTCAGAGCCACAGCTCACATCTGTTTTACCCCAAATGGTTTCTCCATGTTCAGCGAGTATAATTTCCACTGAATGAAACAGGACTTGGCCGGGAATCTGGTCCCAGCACTTACCCCTCTACTGGAGTCTGGGTGAAGTGACACCCTGGCCCAGGAATCACCGAATTTACCGTTATTGGATACCGTGCCTGAGTCTTCTACCTTCCTTAATGACCAGCAAAGGTGGAGGTGAAGTACACCCAGCAGCCTGGTTTCTGGAACAATTTGTTTTAGATAAGACAGTGGCATTTGATAAAGGGAAAAAAGGGGAGGGAGGGAGGGAGAAAAAAATTCCCCAAGAAAAAAGTGGAAAGACCTTGCAAAAGCAACATAACTGACATTTGCTGATTCATTCCCTGCACTTCGGAGGGAGGAAAGAGAAACAGCAGCTGGTTGTGTGCACAGCAGGAGTGGTGATGCACACCTGCTGGGAGTCCCAACACCTGGGAGGGAGGCCAGCTTCCACTTTACCTCCAACGGCTTTGTAAGGCTGATACTGTAGCAGCAGCTGCCACGGGCATTGATTTACAGAGAAAATCCAAGTCTGGGGGTAAGAGTTCTTCGGAGCAAAATTAAAAAGGTGGCAACGTTAACTGTGCTGACTTTTCCTTTCTCCCTTCCCATTTTCTCAAGGGGGAACGAGCAGCATCCAAAGAAGGCTTGTCCATCACAGCACTAGAAAGAGGATGAGCACTACCAGTAAGATCCCAAAGAGAACGATGATCGCACACCACTGGCGACGATCTGGAAAGCAAGAAGATGTGAATTAACTTTGCACAGAGAGATGTGCGCCACAGGAAACAGGGGACGGAGCTCCTCATGGCGGCAGGCTGTCAAGCAGAGGCCCTCGGTGCATGCTGTGGACAGGCATGGGATTTGGTGACCTGAGGTCCCTTCCGACTCTGCAATGCTACAAAATGTACACCATCCAACTTGGACCTGCTGTCAGGGCTCTGCAAGCACGTGCTGTTTCTGGTCTAAAGTGAAAGTCCTGCTGGTCTCCAGAAAGGTTGTATCATGGCACAAGTATTTATTTGCTTTGTGTACAAAGGCTCTAGTTAAAACCTGATCTCAGTTTCCTGCTGCTTGATTACCGTACTGCTTAAAAAAAAAAAAGTGGGGGGTTTTGCTGATATTAGTGCTACAAATGAAAAGACCATGTCTTTTAATTATTCACCAAAAATGAAATTAGTAAACTATAACAGAATTCCTTTTCTAGGTGCTGATGGAAAGTGGAAGGAAAAAAGGGACAGCTAGGTGGTGTAGTGGATAGAACTCTGGCCCTGGAGTCAGGAGTTCAAATCCAGCCTCAGACATGTGACAGAGATACTAGCTGAGCAACCCTGGGCAAGTCACTTAACCCTGATTGCCTCACCTTAAAAGAAAAAAAAAAAGTGGAAGGAAGATAAAAGCTGGTTTGAGATGCGGAAAGTGAATGTCTACAGCATCAAGTCCCCTAAAATAGGCCATATATCTTAATTCTACACAGCATCTTTTGAATTTTTGATGACGAGTCAAATAATAATAGCAGTAATAGTCATAAATACATATGTTCATTCCTAGAATCTCTTTCTTCTTAAGTTCTCTGCCTCAGCACCAATTGTAGAGGCAGAGAAAGGAAAAGTAAATTGGTTGGAGTGGGTCAGTTAAGAAAGTTTAGCATTAAATTAACAGCTGAATAATATTTCCTTAGATGTAGATGGTACCTAGAACTGTTTCCTAAGCTTTTTTGGGGGGGGGGCAGGGGGTTATTCTTGACTTTCAGAGAAAAGAGTTTTGAGGTATATAGGCCATAACAAGTTAATTTGGGGTTGGGGGATGGAGAATGTAGAGAAACAGCTGATAGGGTAGGCTTTAGTCCCCTGAACACATGGGAGGTATTCAAAATCAAAAGAGGGTCCCTAAATAGAAAGGCAGGGGAGGACACTGAATACAAATTTTATCTATTTCCACAATCTTTCTAAGGTAAGCCTGAGATGTGTATGCCTTTCGCTACAGAAGAGCTGGGCTAGACTCTGAGCACAAATCCATCCCTGTGATCTGAACATACTATTCAAAGTACAGAGCATTATTTTCCAAATTAAAAAGATCTGGATCTTCGGAATACAAGAAGGAAAAAAAAAAAAAGCTTAAATCCTTCTAGAAAGTTTTACATTAATTAAGTTTAAATTTTAAAAAAATTTCCATTATAATTTTACTTAATTAAAATGAGGTGTATAAAGATGGTTATAGGCCAGGAAGGCAAAATTATGCCCCCCTGAAGTGGCAAAAGTACAGTGTAATTCTTACTATACAGATGATTTAGATCAAATTCTCAAAATATGCATATATTTTATATATATTTGATATATCTCTCTACTGTGAGAAAGCATTTCCAAATAGTCAACAATGAATATGACTGCTCTGGGGCAAGTAACAGCTTTCTTAAAATTTGTTTATTTACATTTTTAAATAGACAAGCAAATTTTCCAGAATTATTTAAAACAGATCTTGGCTATTTATTTTTAAAGTTTCACCTTAATTTAAAAACACAACCTTTCTCAAGAAACATAGTGGATATACTTCCTGCAAAAAACAGAGAAAGGAAGCCCATAAGCACACTTCCTGTTTTTTATTACCCCTGACATCCTGCTATTCTCAGGGGCCCATAGAATTCTAGTACCATATAGTTTTTCATCTTGTGCTTATCCATGGGTCTTTTCTTACTTATCAACCATCTCTTCCCTTTCTTCTACAGCTGCATTAAGTTGGGACTTTTTATCAAAGAAAAATGTGTTATGCCCAAGCTGAAACAGGCAAAGACTGTTCTTTTTAAGAGTGATTCCCCTTTGAGGTTGTAAATTGCTTCTGTGAAGCGTGGACTGGGTAACCCCGCGTATTTGTTATCCTGCTGGACTTCTCATAACTACTTCCTGTGAGTATGAATATCTGGAGCAAAAACCACATGGCTCTTTTTGACCTCAGGTGAGCAGTCTTACCCATCTGTACAAAGAACACAAAGTGCCTAAATCAACCATTTAGAGAAGATGAAGCAATACAAAAAGAGGAGATTTTTCTCCAGGCATGTTTTTTTCAAAGGGAAAGTTGAACTGCATTTTGAATTGATGGAAGAAATCACACAATATACCTAAAATAAAGTGAGCTTATTTTCTCTAAGACAGTTAACACAAAAATCAGTTTTATCCTCTACTGGGTCACTATGTTCCACTGTACTCAGAAAATGATTAGTTGGCCAATAATACCAAGTTGGTTTTTTTTTTTTTTCCACATGGCCCCTGGGAATGGGGATTCTGAGTGTGCATTAGACAGGGGAGGAAATGAAGTAGAGAGAAGACAACTTAGTGCCTCTCCCTGGAGAGAAGGGGAGGTATTCAAGAGAAGGTAGGAATTACATAATTTGGCACTGGATGGATATATGGAATGAGAGTAAGGAGTTGAGCTTTATCAAGGCTTGGTTGACACCAAGGTATTGAGTTTAGTGGGTGGTGCTCTGGAGAGTAATAGGAAAATTTGAAAGGGAAGGTCTGGGAGGAAATAAGTTCTGTTTTGGATGTGCTGAGTTAGATGCCTAGGAGACATCCAATTGGACGTGCCCAATAGGTAGCTGGGAATCTGGAATTTTTTGCCAAGACCATGTCACAAGATTTCCATATTAAAAATATAAAATTCTCATCCCCTCACCCTATCAACAATACATATAAAATACTGAAAAGCATGGGGTAGAAAGATAAAAATCAAAATGCCTGTGGTAACCAGTGTTTCGAGGATTGTAAAGAACAATATGCCCTCCCATATTTACTCTCTCTCAAAATAAATGTTTGACTTTTAAGATCAGTACCTACCGCTGGTCATATGGGACACTTTTGCAAGTTTCTTCATCACATTGTCCAGCCGAGACTGTGTGCTGTCCAACTCATGAGAGAAGTCATCTAACATTCTGGATAGAGAAGTAGATGGAGAAAGCACATGGTAAAAAAATACAAAGAAACCACATTGTACTCACTGGCCCAACACTTAATTAACAGGCAAAGTCCCAAAATCACAAGAGAGGCAAGACTCTAAAACAGCCTTTGTGAACTTTAAATGCATAAAATTACTTATGTTCATACTACAAGGGACTAAACCCCCAAAACAAGTCTCTCACCAGAAAAATAAAAAATATAGTTTAACAAAAGATAATTGATTCACCTAAGATAGTCTCTATTCACTAACTGCAGTATAGCTGGGGAAAATACAGCATAACACACTTGGGTGTGTGGCATCGGATACACTGGATACAGAGTCAGAAGTGTTGGATTTGAGATCCAGCTTGGACACTTAACTGGCTAGGTGACCTTCATCAAGTCACTATTTTTCTGGGCCTGTTTCCTCATCTGAAAAATGGGAATAATATTTGTACTCCCTACTTCATAAGGCTATTACAAAGTACTAAAGAAAGCATTTAATAAGTTGTAAAACATTATTATAAGTGTGAGCTCTTATAATATTTGACAGTTTCTCTGTTGGGGCCTTATTTTGATGCCTCATCGTGGTGTGGAGGTGATTGTATATGTTCTCAAAGAGGTTTCCAAAGGAGCCCAAATTCTAGGACACATGTCCTAACCAAGCTCCAAAGTCTTTTAAGTCAGGCCCAGCAATGGACTTTGTGTCAGTTATCTGGGCACCAACTCAGATTGAAAAACCTCATGGCCAAAGGGCTAGCCATAGAAGATGATTTGGGGATAGACAGGGGCACAACAATTCATATACTCTGGTGTGGGGAACTTTTCCATAATATCAAATCACATATCAATGAAATCCATGTAACAGTCATCTATAGCCAGGTTTCAAACTTTTGCAGTGTGGGCAGAAAAGAGTGGACCTGAACAAGATTAAAATGTAACTTCAAAATGTTTGACAAAATAAATAAAAATACAACAAAACACAGATAATTTTAATTTGTGGTTTTCTAAGTCAATATTTCTATTGAAACTAACAGTTGACTGTATATGTATGTCACCCACAGCCCAACACAATGACAGGCCTTATGCATTTACTACTATCAGAATCTCTTAGACAAGAAACAGCATGTTAGAGTAGAAAGAGAGATGGGCAGGAAACAGGATGGTGCCCATCAACTGCAGCACATGGATGGAATGAACATTACTGTACTGTAAGGAATGACATACAAGAAGAACTCAGACACCCAGAAAGACTTGTGTGAACTGATGAAGTATGAAGTAGGACCAGAACGATTTACACGATGATCACAATAAAGTAAAGGAAAACAATTCTCAAAGACTTGGGAACCTTGATCAGTGCAGATCAACCATGACTTCGGAGGAAGGAAGATGAAATTTGTCCTGGCCCCTCAGCAGAGCGCTGATGGACTTTAGTGCAGAATGAGATGTACATTTTTTTTGACCTGGCCAATGAATGTGTTTTGGCTGATTAGGCTTATTTGTTACAAGATGATTTACTGGAAAGTGATTTTTTTTTAAAAAAAACAAGGAAAAAAATGCCAATTTAGCATTAAAAATACAGAACCAAAAAGTTCATTAGAGGACATAAACTGGCTTTCATTACTAACTTGTTAAATTTAATATATACCTTTTGGGAGAGGAAAAAAAAAGCAAAACAAACTGCATGTACCAGAAGTTCAGTTTCTGTTCTTTGTGTATTTTACTTAATGTTTGCATTGTTGATGAAGTTTATAATGAACAGTCACCTCCCAGCGTTGTTGTAAAGGCCAAATGAGATAATACTTGGAAAAACATTTCATAAACCTTAAAGCTCCATATAAATGCTACCTATCATTATCATCATTGCTACAAAAGGAAAAGTGTTTTTCTAAAAAGGAAGGAAAAAGGAAAGCAATGGTCAGAATACCACCTCTGACACATAAGAACCAGTGACCACTGGTATCATCCACTTCGAACCTTAGTTTCCCCGTCTGTATAACAAGGAGAACAAAACTGACTCCTCACAGGATGAAGATCAATAAGCACTCTGCAAACCTTTAAGGGCCCAAATCAATGTGGTCCTATACCTATATCTAGATTAGTGCCAAGGTGGAATTCTGAAGGGGTCACACATCTTTGAGTTTGCCTGATTCCAAGTTACAGTCACGTAAAATATGGTCACTGGCTCCGGCCCAATGGCCATAAGCAGCAATGAATGTGAACAATGTAACTGACCTCTTCAGGGGAATTCACACAACATACTATAGCTAGTCTTTGGTAGAGACTCTTCTCTGTGTGTGTCTCTCCCCACACTCCATCCCCAAATAAAATGCCTAGCACATAGTAACGTACTGAAGGAAAAGTATAAAAATGACAGATACTCTTCTTAGACCTTGGTCCCCTTACTAGCCCAGTCGCTTAAAGCCAAAATAACTATAACTATAGGAATAAGTGGTTTACTCTAATATTGTGCTTCCCACTGGGGGTAAGGAGGGAGGGAACAGGAAGGCGGGGAGCAGTGAAAAGAAGGGTGTTGACAGAAGAAAGACTTGGTATTTTCAGCTACTCAGAACTTTTTGAAAAATACTGAATTAAAAATTGCAAGGGGGAAAAAACACTCATTTTACAGAGCTCAAATGTGCATGGTAGAAATGGAATCTTTTTAATTAGCAAGTTCAGCTTTGACTTTGATTAAAACTATGAAGTAATTCTTCACTTATGAAACCACTAGAGTGACAGGACATCCTCGAATACATTCTGGTGAACCTTTAGCTCATAATTAATTTTAGAAAATGAGGTACTGAATAAGGGTCCTATAAATAATTTGCAGAAAGTTAAAATGTACTTTCCAGGTCACAAGTTTGGCATGTATGCAATGTCCAAGAACAAACAGTCTTAGGTATCACACTTCTAAGCACAAAAGACAGAAGGTGGTCGTTTAAAACTCAATTCAAATAAACATTTTTAAGTGCCTTTTTGTGCAATGGATGATGCTAGGCAGTAGAGCTATAAAGGCTAAAATGGAAAACGCTTTTCTCAATCCTTGTACTTCTTGAGCTCTCTGCATCCTTTGATAATTGTTGCTCAATCTCTCCGCTGGAAATTTCTCCAGGTTTCTATGATCCTTCTCTCTTCTGTCTGACCATTCCTCCTTCTGAGTCTGCTTTACTGGATCTTCTCCCCGGTTAAATATGTTACCTGTGGGTGTCCCCCAAGGCCCTCTGCTGGCCCTCTTTTCTTTTCTCTCTAAACTATTTCACTTGGTGACCTCATGCGTTCAATTATTGCCATGGAAATGATTTTCAGGTCTATTTATCCTGCCCTAATCTCTTTCCTGATGTCCAGTCAGTCAACGGGCACTTATTAAGCACTTATTATGTGTGAGATCGGCAGCCTCGAGGCCAGAGATTCCCCACCCCAGTGCCAGACACTGCGCTAAGGGAGAAGAACACAAGGGAAGGCAAAAACAACCCTTATCCTCAAGGTGTTCACATTCCAAGAGTGACAACATGTGAACTGTATACAAATGAAATATATATGTGGTAAATTAGAGCTATACAAAGAGCCAAGTCACTAGCACTAACGGAGACTTAGAGAGGCTTAAGACTGTGAGATTTTAGGTGAGACCTGAAGGAGGCAAAGACAAAGATTCCAGGCATGAGGGGACAGTCAGGGCAAATGCATGGAATGGGTGAGCAACTGCAAGAAGGCCAGTGTCACTAAGGGTATAGGGAGGACTGCGATGGAATGCTATTGTATTGTAAGAAATGATGTGAAGGATGCTTTCAGAGAACCCTGGCTAGACTTATATAAACTGATGCAAAGTGAAATGAACAGAAACAGGAGAACACTGTACATGGTAACAGCAATATTGTACAATGATCCATAGAGAATGACTTATTCTCAGCAATACGATGATCCAAGACAATTTTGAAGGACTTAAGATGGAAAATGTTACCTATCTCCAGAGAAAGAACTGATAGAATCTGAATGCAGATTAAAGCATACTTTTAAGACTTTATTTTTCTCGTGGCTTTTTTTTTTCGGTCTGTGTTTTCTTTCATAAAAAGACTAATACGGAAATAGGTTTTATGACTCCACATGTATAACCTATATGTATATGTATAGCCTGCTTCCTTAAGAAGTAGGGAGAGAATTTGGAACTAAACATTTTTTAAAAAAGTTGAAAACTGTTTTTACATGTAATTGGGAGAAAATATTAAATAAATAAGTATTTTTTAGAAGAGGATATGGAGGTGTGTCAAATATAAGAAGACTGGAAAGGTAGGAAGGGGTCAGGTTATGAAGGGCTTTCAAAGTCAAACAGAATTTTACATTTGATCCAGGAAGTAAAAAAGAGTCACTGGAGTTGACTGAATTGGGGTAGGGTGGAGGGGCGAGGGGGTAAGGGGAAGAGACATAGTAAGAACTTTGTTTTAGAAAGATCAGTCTGATAGCTGAGTAGACAATGGACTGCAGTAAGCAGAGACTTGAGGCAGGGATACCAGATTATTGCAGTAACCTACCACAAGGTAATGAGGGCCTATACCAGAGTGGTGTCACAGAAGAGAGACATTGCAAAAGCAAAATCAAAAGGACATGACAACAGATTGGATATGGGGTGGTGAGAAAAAGGGAGGAATTGAGTATGATACCTAGATTGTAAGCCTGGGTCACAGTGAGAACGGTGGTACCCACAATAGTAATAAGGAAGGCAGGGAAAGGAGAGGGTTAAGGAATTGGGAGGTGGGAAGGAGTGAGAAGACTAGTTCAATTTTGAACATTGTTGAGTTTGAGGTATCCAATATGGAGATTCAAGACTGAGGGTCAGGAGAGAGGTATGGGATGGATAAATAGATCTGAGAATCAATTAAATCCATAGAAGCTAATGAGATCACTAAGTGAAATAGTTAAAAAGGAAAAGAAAGGAGAAGGTGGAGCCAAGATGGCGGAGAAAAGGCAGTGAGTTGCTGGAGTTCTCCCTAAAACCCCTGTG